ACTAGATGTTGGAGCTTTTACCCTTAAAAACTATCTTATTTACCTTCTCAATGCACCTTGGAAGTAATATAAACGTTAAAAAAACAACAACACAGGGCTCCTCTACAAAAAAAGCACCTAAAGACGAGTTAATAATGTCGGACCCTTTGATTCCCTCGAGGTTGCAGTCAAATTACTAATCGACGCGACTTTACTGGACAATTTTAGCTTATTATAGATATCAGACGAATGTTGACCAGTAAGTAAAAAGAAGTTGCAGTAAACTACCGAAATGTTAATATATTTTAGTCCAAATAGAAACATTTTTCCATTACAAACCAAAAATTCATTAAAGTTTGTAAAACAGGCTTACACATTATTTAATTTAATGTTTATTAGAGTCCAGTATTCATTACATTGCTGTTTTTTCTCTAGTTTTATAAGGGGAAAACATATTACATTATTTTTCTTATCACAACTTAATATAATTTATCTGCAGTTGTGTTTTTGTCCGGTTATTACTGATTTAATGACTTTAAATCCACAGGTGTTGCTTTTAGCATTGTGTCTAAGTTTATTTTTCAGCTGTGAAAATCTCCAACTTCATATACAACAACTTTAAGTCTTTAAAATATCCAATATAAGGGACCTGTATCAAAATATCTTTAATTATTCATTTTATGTTTTAATCTTATTTTGGTCATCAGACGATTCCTGATTTTATTTTGAAAGCTACGACAGGAAGCCGCCTGTCACTGTCTGATCACCTCGACATTAATCCAACCGACAAACGGGGGTTTAACTTTTACGACAATTAAGATTATCGATAACTTTTAACAATAATAAATAAATAAATTTAACGTCTCACATGAAGTGTAACTGCGAACAGGAGATTATAGCGTCGAATTACTCGTTAAAATGTTTAAAAAAACTAATAAAATGTGAGTTTTTAACGACTACCTTGCAGTTTATCTCCCCCCCCCGGTTCCGTCCAATGGTTCGGTCCAACTCAGCCCGCAGTTATAACGTTTTATTTCTAAATAAATAACATTTACCGATTAAATACTTCGAGTTTATAACGTGTTAAAGTTAAATTAAACCGAGTTATATTAATAAAAGGGATGTTAAAGGACAGCCGAGAGACCGTGTGTTGTATAGTTGATCAACACGTATGAAAACACAAAAAAAGGTGATTTTTTTTATTATGTCAAAAGGTTTTCTAATACTAACTACTCTTACCTCCATGCTCACCACCGAAAATCTGATTAATGTTTTGTTTTTATTCCACTTTTTTGCAACTGAACTTCGCCCAGAATTGATTTCCTCAAATTATCACAACAAGGGGCACCGGCTTCCGGATTGTACGTACAAGTGGAAGTGACCTCATCACGCAGGAAAAGGGGGACGTTGGGCCTTTCAGAATAAAAGGCATCTCGCTTTTGCTGCGTATCTGATTCTAATCGTGAAGTTTATAAAATACAAAATATAAAATATAAAAATAAACACATTTCAGATAAAAACGTAGATTTCTGTTATGTCTTTTTAAAATTAAAAAAACCTTCTGTATTCCTTTTCTGTAAATTAATCTCAGTTTTCATTTGAAGTACAAGTTCAATGTCGTGTTTCAAACATGTTTCATAAAATAAAAGTATAATAAAGTAGTTAAATACAGTAATTTTAAATATTGTCAGCTGTTCAAATTAATTTTAAAAAATGTTTACCAATTAGTTGAAATAAAAGAAAATATTATTTTGTTAAATTAGTCATTTAGGTCAAAAATAAAGGGTGTTTTCCACTAATTTATAGACTAAAACAACAGATTAATCAATAATAAGCACTCAAATAACATATTGACAACTTTCTAAAATAAAAATATATAGAAGCAGTGAGGCCACCTTTTGTTAGTTAATGTTCTTAACAATGGTTGTTTATTGTCAAAAATTATGATCTTTAGGTTATCAGTTCAAAGGTTTTTAAAGGCCCAAAGTGACATCTTCAAACTGATATTAAATTTACAATATAAACCAGTGAAAACTGTCAAATTGTATTTTATAAAAAAGCCTCGCACTCTCAGCATCTTCATAATACATTCTCATATTAAAGTACACTTTGTCATTAAAACAAAAAGGATCACGAGTATTTTAACTTTTCCTTCAAAATTGCTTTATTTATTCCTGTGTTTTTTTTCAAGCAAAGTTTTTTTTATGATTCCTTTTTTTTTATATTAATGTAATTAAAAAAAGATAAAACTTGGGATCTTTTGTCGTCTTTATGTACAAGCAAGAAAAAAAAAAAAAACAATGTTTTCAGGAAATAACAATGAACATAAGAGAATCCCTGCACGACAACACTGTAAAAAATAATAAAATAAAATAAAATAAAATAAAATAAAATAATAAAATAAAATAAAATAAATATTAAAATAACGAGCATTGGGTAAGTGTCCTAAGGTGT